GATGATGGATGGATGATGGATGGATGATGGATGGATGGATGGATGGATGGATGGATGGATGGATGATGGATGATGGATGGATGGATGGATTGATGATGGATGGATGGATGGATGGATGGATGGATGGATGGATGATGGATGATGGATGGATGGATGGATTGATGATGGATGGATGGATGGATGGATGGATGGATGGATGGATGATGGATGATGGATGGATGGATGGATGGATGATGGATGGATGGATGAAAGGGTGGCAGCCAGTGCCTAGAGTGCAGGTGGGCGGGGCTTTGAGTGGAGAAAGTTTGCACCTGTTGATTTCTGACAGGATAAACATCAGTAGCAGCAGCAGCAGGTTCATTCTCTGCACCGCCAGCAGGTTTAAAGCTCTTCTACCAAATGGTGAGTAAAGGAAACTTTTTTCTGTGTATTTAAATGTTTCTCAAAATGCAACTGAAATTTGTATTGGTTTCTATTTCAGAAGGTTCAGATGGAAATGTGACTGAGGAGCTGAACTTTAAACTTAAGGTTTATCAATACAAAGCTTTTGATAAGGACATGCATTATAGTATGAGAAACATTTATTTAATGTTTCTAAATCAAGTTGGGAAACTAGCTCACCTTCTTTACATACAATGCACTTACTACCTGCCAAATTAATGCAAATGCATGATGGTTGAACCATAGATCTTAACACATCCAGGAGCACATCTTAAAATTAATATTTTGCTCTAAACATCTTGCTGCAGCCTACATGTGCAGTTTGATTGTGTTTCACACAGCTTGCAGCTGCACCCGGGGGCAAAGAGCTCTCATTAATTACCCTTGCACAACCAAGGCTTGTATTTGTTTACTGCACCCAGAGCTGATTTACATGCCTTGTTTCCCAGGTGACCCTCCCTGTACCCAGTTGTGCAATGCTGCAGTCTCTGATAGTGGTTTCTGTGTTATCAGTCTGACTTTCAGCCTGATAGTGCGTGGTGTGGTGAACAGGGGGTTACGAGGGGCGATCAGCCTCTAACGACCACCCCCCATCAGGAATCAGAAGGTCAGGAGAAGATCAAACATGTTTGAAATTCAGTCGGCCTTCATAAGGTGGTCGTGGGCAAATCGCTCAGTGGGCAAACAAGGATTCTTCTTCTTCTTCCTCCCAGATGTAAACCCAGCAGCATGGCGGGGGGGCAATGAGTGAAATGGAGTTCTTTCTGTCAAACTGTCAGACCGTAGTAGCCATGTTAGCTCAGCCATATCTTTGTCCAAATACGTCGTCTCCTTTTCTTTTTAGGGCTTTCAGCACTAAATTGCCCAAATTGCCAAGGAAACCCGTTTCTCTCTAGTGAGCTTCAGCTCCTCTGCTTCTCACCGCCTGGTTTTTAGACGTACAGTGTGAGCGGTTAGGTCACATCAGAACGTCGGGTCGCACAGTGGGAGAACAAACATTGTGAGCTGTGAACTTTTAAATCCTGCAGATTCATCGTACAGTGTGAACTGTAGCTGCGTGCAACGATAAAAAACAATCGTACAGTGTACGCCCGGCTTTAAGGAGTAGAGAGTTTTACTGGATGTTTGACTGCTTTAACTTCTCATGGCTGCGCCTGTAGGCAGCAGCTTCATGCAGCTCTTGACAACTCCACAAATTATGCCGCTTAGAATTCTACAAATTCAGCATTGATCCCACCAGCGCCTGCTTGAGCTTTGGTCGTTTCTTGACTCTTAAATACTGACACTCTTGACCGTTTAAAAGGCTGCGGAGGGCTTCGGATAGATGAAAACTTTCCAGCAGGCCCAGAGACCAGGCCGCAACAGGGTGAGGCCCAGAGAAAATGATTTGCCAGGCGGCGAAAGAGGGGCTGCAAAGGCGGGCTAACAGCGAAGCTAAGAAGCAATCCCCACAGACCACTGCTACCATCAATCCAGCTTCCGCTCACAAAATGGATAATCTATGACTTGAAAGCTCTTCAAAAAAAAGAGTCATGGCTTCATTCATCAATACAGAACAATGCTGTTAGCCTGGAGGGGCTAACATACCACGGCAATAGAAACAGTGAACTCAGCGGTTAGACTAGAGGAGGCGGGTTCTGTGTTTACATCTTCAACAGCTGGTGTAAAAATGCTGGATCAGTCTCCAGCTTCTGCTCTACAGACATCGATTTTCTGACTGTTAACTGCAGGCCGTTCTATCTGCCCAGAGAGTTCAGTGTGTGCCCCCCCCCCAGCGCTAACACAGCGCTAACACTAAAGAGGCCATGAAGACTCTATAGCAGGCTATCTCTGAGCTCCAATCTGCACACAGAGGCTGTTTCCATCATTGCTACCAACATGAACCTTAACCTTAACCCTCTGGTGAAACCAGACCTGGTTTACTCTAACATCAAAGACGCATTCAGAGTAGGGGTCCACGATAAATCGGCGGGCCGATCGATCGGCCCCGATTTCCTTAATTTAGGTTGATTGGTGATCAGCCGATATTTACATATGAAACCGATCTTAACCAATTCAATTCAATTCAGTTTATTTATATAGCGCCAAATTCACAACACATGTCATCTCAAGGCACTTTA